CTCCTGGGCTCAAGCGAGTCTCCTGCCTCCGCCTCCCAAGTAGCTGGGACCACAGGCGCCCGCCATAACGCCCGGCTATTTTTTGGTTGCAGCCGTCGTTGTTTGGCGGGTCCGGGCTGGAGATTCGAACCCGCCACCTTAGGTGTACGTGGCTGGCGTCTTAGCCGGTTGAGCTATAGGCGCCGAGCCTGGATGAGACTTTTTCAATTAATCTTTCCTCCAGCCTTACTTGAGTATTATGGAACTTTTTACAATACAGGTGGAGTATCCCTAATCTGAAATGCTTGAGACCAGAAGTATTTTGGATTTAGGATTTTGGAATATTTACATATGCATAATGAAGTATCTTGGGGATGAGACCTAAGTCTAAAGGTGAAGCTTCTTTATGTTTCTTATATACTGTATGAAGTTAATTTTATTTTTCCCTTGGGGATGCTGAATAAACCTGTGTTGTGTGCCTATATTTTGACTGTGACCTGTGACATGAGGTCAAGTGTAGAATTTTCCACTTGTGTAGTCATCTTGCTACTCAAGAAGTTGTGAATTTTGAAGGATTTTTGATTTCAGATTTTTGCATAAGGAATGCTCAACCTGTAACAGTAATATCTGTTGTCACTCTGATTTTTTCCCTAAGTTGACCTGGCTTCTGTGGACAACTGGGATTTAAGATGGGAGGAACACACCAGGGAAGGGAAGCAGCAAGTCCTAGGCTTGCTAGGAGACTGCTCAGGAGTCCTGTGTGAAGGGAGTGGTGGAGGTAAGTAGAGACTGAGTCTGGGCCAGACCACAGACTGGTATGTTAGGTTGGGTGGTTTGTCTGTTACATTTTTTTTTGAGACAGAGCCTCAAGCTGTCACCCTTGGTAGAGTGCCGTGGCTTCACTGCTCAGAGCAACTTCCAACTCCTGGGCTCAAGCGAGTCTCCTGCCTCAGCCTCCCAAGTAGCTGGGACCACAGGCACCCACCACAATGCCCGGCTATTTTTTGGTTGCAGCCATTATTGTTGTTTGGCGGGTCCGGGCTGGATTCAAACCCGCTACCTTAGGTGTATGTGGCTGGCGCCTTAGCCACTTGAGCCACAGGTGCTGAGCCGTCTGTTACATTCTTATAAGCAAAGAGAAATCATCTGAACATTCCTGAGCCCGGGAGAGAGATGATCGATCTGTATTTGAGAAATGTATCAAAATGGCAAATGCAACAGAGAGGGAAGGAATGAAAGGCGGGCTATTCAGCTATTTCTAGTTGAGTAAAGTCTCAATTCCCACTCAAAGTATGGGATTAAGAGGGACAACTGTCTCTTCATGCAGAGACACCATCCAATTTATGAGTGTGGACGCCCCTTGATTTCTGCTAAGGATGTGTTCTGGACCTCTCCAGGAGAGGTGGTAAAGATAATGCTTTGAGGTTTGATCACGTGGCTTTAAATCCTCCTCTCTCTGCATTACTACTTGTGTGACCTTGGTAAATTACTTAAACTCAATTTCCTTGTCTGTAAAGGGAGAATAAAAATAAATAGGTTTGTTGAGATGACTGAATGAGAAAACACGTGAGCACGAGTACCAGCCGGAGTTCCGTGGACGTCAGCTGTTATTCACCTTCTAATTCACAACTGCACCACAGCGTCTCTCATGCAAGAGGAAGCATCGACT